GCAGAGCTATTCGAAAGATTGAAAAATTAACTCAGTTTCGCCTTTTATTAATATTTTTGCTTAATATATTGTATACCTAACAAGCTTAAAAACTTCAGAAATTGAGTATCAATCATAAAAAAAAAATAACGAGATTTATATTTTGCTATTATTACTTCTAACGAGACCAAACAGTTAATAACGTTCTACTAGCACATTTCATTCATCGTAATATAAATGAATACATGCATAGTAATTTTATAAGTGCTTCATTCTATGGAAGAAAAAATAATAACAATTTTAATTTGAATGTTAAAAAAAAATAACTATTATTCATTTCCATTTTTGAATGCTGTGAATTTTGATAAGCAAACCGAAACAATGTACAAACTGATAATTGTTCCATTCACTTTTGTAAACCAAATATTTAAAATTGGCATTCTAATCGATTTAATTGGTGTAAATAGGGTTACGGCATCAGGCATTCTACGTAGAAATAATGACTGAATTTCATTATCGAAACCAATACATCTTTTTAGAGGAAACTGGTTTATCATTTACCCGCCCCTCGCGGAAATGTGTTGAACTTTGCACCTCCAGAAGAAGAAAAAAATACACATTCTTAAGGAATATGGTATTTCTTGTAGATTAACTAACTACACGGTGATTAAATGCCCAATCATTTGAGTTTGAGAATGATTCATTTAAGCTTGTGAAACTTCATGCATTTTACATGATGAGCTGTTAAATTATAACACAGGAGAACTATGTAAAAACAGAGGGGGGGGAGGGATAATTTTAATTATCTCCGGTATGTTTTCATAATTTTTGGTTTTATTTAATTTTTTTTATTTCTTTTGTGAATTAAACATTGCATAAAATTCTGACCACGCAAGTTGTTAATATTCACTTACAAAATGCTAAACCACCAGTTTCGTGTAAAAGGATGAGTGCAGCGTACACTAATATTCATCATAGTGCTCGTTGATCCATAAAATCATTCTTTTTACATTAAAAGCTGTTTAAGTAGAAATTCCGCAGAATTATGCAGAAAAGTGTGAAAATGTATCGAATATAAATAATTTTACTGGTATCGAATACGTTTTCAAGTTTATTTTATTATTATTTGCTTTATATTTGAATAAAATATTGCAAAAATATCTGGCTGGACAATTATTGAATAGTGAAATGTTAGATATTGAATAGTGAAATTAATATAAAAATTAAATGCAACGTACATTATTAAAAATAGGGAGTTACTGTCTATTCAATTGAAACGCTAATCGGAATTACTGCGGCCATTGTCATCTGTTTCAACTAATCTCTCTACTTGCGCAAAATGAGATTATTTTGCAAGCAATGTCACAACTTGTAAAAAGGAAATGACTGATGATTATAATGCCTCAAAAACCAGACGTGGCTATACAGCACCAAACTGGAAAGGAAGGAAAAAAAGGAAAGGAAGGAAAAAAATATTTGAGATCACGTTGTTAAGTTAACATTACTAAATGGTGCGAGAAACCATGCCTGACGTGAAAATAAAAGCAGAAGATATGAAAAAAGAGCAAAAGCATTACAGGGTCACAGAACCCGAATTTATCTTAAAAAATAATTTTCAAAAATCGAAATGAAATTAATTATCATTTATGAATTTCATAAGAGACAGTAATTAATTTTTATATTTTCATTGATGAGTAAAATTGCAACTATGCATTAGCAATTTTTATAAGACCTAGAAAAATTTGAACACCACACCTAGAAAAATTTGAAGCAAATTACATTAATTTAGAAAGTGTGTTGCGTTTTCTAAATTAAAACACTTTTGTCTCATGAAAATGTCAGTTGTCAATATCTATTTTCGTAACTCTGCAGTTACAGAAATTTTATTTTTAAATCGGTAAGTACTACAAATCATAATCCAATTGGAAGTTTTTGGAGACAATCAAATATGTTAGTCATATGAATAAAAAAAATTCCGAACAATAAATGCACATACTTATCATGTTTTATAGTGTTTGCAGAATGGAAAAAAGAGTGAAAGATTCTGTGTTGACATTTAATGATAAATAGTTAACTAAAAACCAAATGAGATGAAAAAATATTTTAAATGCGTTAATTATTCTTCGAAGAATCTCGTTTTATAATCATGGATATCAAAAATTTTCAATTCAATTCACATGATTTCGTTCGTTATTACTTCAAATGAAATTAATTTGTTTTAAACGAAACATAAATGTATACTTGTATTTTTGCGGATTTTTTCGAATTTGTGCATTCATTGTAAAGTTAGAGAAGTAAAAATTAAGTCCGAATTTGATTTTTTGATTTTCGTTCGTCGTAAGTTTCTACCTCAGTGATATATCATTTGACGAATCAAGAAATCTTCAGAGATTTATTTGACGGAAACGTACTAACGTACTAATACGTACTAACGTATTTTAGTAAATGCACATTTGTATTGATTTTATTTATTCGCGAATATTGCGCTTTTAATTGTGGAAAGATCAGAAAACCGATTTTGATATATCAATTTTTGTTTGTTATAAAATGTATCTTCCAGAAAATGACAAAGATTTTTTTCTCCTCTTTTTTCTGATAATTCATTAATTTTTGCGCATATAATCAAATAAAGACCAACAGTATCATTCAAAAGTTTAACAATATTTATTGATGAAAGCAATATTTAGTAATGGTTGCTTGAAATAGTTTTAAAAACGTCGTCATAGTTTAAAGTTTAACGTTAAAAACTTTAAAACGCAATTTAACATTTCCAGAATCGTATTTTCTTTGGCACTTTTTATTATCCTATGCTCCGAAACTAAATAAATTTTTAAGAAACTTTTTACTTACAGTTTTGATACCTCAAACATCATTATTCTAAATAAGTAACTAGTTTATTTTCATTTGATAAATTCAATTTTAAAAAAAAAGTATTGGTTGTTTTTCGTTAGCTTAACTCATACTCATTTAGTAGTAAATTTTGAATATAATAGTTTAAAAAAAAATCTGCGAATAAAAAAAATTCACCGATGGAAGGAATAAAATTTCAAAATATCAGAAAAAATTTAAACGAGTTACGCATTTTAAGCGAAAAATTCCGCGTTAAAATGAAAATTTATCGATAAAAAATTAAAAATTTATTATATAAAAAATTAAAAATAAAAATTAATTTTAAAAAACTTATCCTTAATTGCCTCGGGCACAATCCTATTACAAACCTATCATTAAGGCATAATGTTGAAACTTAAGGTAATTTCGCTAAATTGTAAGTTTAAGTAATATTACTAATAAGTAGTAATCAACTTATAACGATAGACCAACAATCTCGATTCAGTGTTGAATTATAATACATTTACCTTTAACCACAAAACGAGACAAACTTGCTGCAACCTCAATACGGTGTTAAATCAAATCCGATTTCCATTCAAATTGATAATATGATAATGTAAAGTATGATCGGTTTTTAACATAACTCTATATTATGCAATTTCGAACAAATTATGATGAATCGCTTTACAAAGTTTATTACAGTTTACACTCCAAAATTAATTTTACAGTTCGCTCACCAAATACACTCAAGCCCCAAAACTTATTACAGTTAATAAAAAACAGAATACCATGTACTAACTAAAATTGTATAAAAAGTTCTTTAAAAAACAATTCGATGCATTTTTTTTTTCATCATTATCTGTTCCGATTTTTGCCAAGATCTCTTTTCTATATAGTCTACAAAAAACTAATAAAACTAACTTAATGATACTAACTAGCTTAATCAAAATCTACTAAAGCAATAAATTAGTTTGTTTCATATTAATTTTACGGACGCTTTTTACGAACAGCAATTGGGGGATATTGGAGCAGCAGTAATAAAACACACTTTTCCTTAACTCTTTTTTACATGAAATTGCTTCTTATCAATGTGGATGCATTTTGATTATGAGGATATCGACAATTTTTATACCTTCTCAAATAAATTTTTGGTTTTAATAACAAGCTTTTATCAATCTTCCTCTCCCAAGAATGAATTTTACCATATTTTAAAACATAAAATCTGATGCATTAGTTTGCATACAATATTTTGTAAATGAGCTTTTAAATTTCAAACACAAGTTACAAAAGTTTAAGCTTACTTTAAAGCTCATAATACGATAGTTTTTATTTTCCTCAGTCGATCTCTTAATTTATTTAATTATCATTGTTAATTATTAAAGAAACTCCAGTGTAATTATTACAAATAAAATACCATTGTTTTCAAAGAAGCTTCTTTTAAAAGGTAAGAGAGGCTGTAAGTTTCATAAACTAGTTGTTTTATCTTTATAAACATTTAACCTTTATCAATTATTATTTTGTCAACATAATTTTAGCTTGTAGGGCAGAACCAAATCTAATTTCATCAATGCAGAAATAACTGAGGCTTTAAAGTTAAGGCTTATATCTGAAGAGTTATGAAGTTTATAAGCTAAATAACATAACTATTGTTCCTTGATTGGCTTTTACAAGCTTACCTACAAAATAACTAAAATATTTTTTGAAAAAATCTAAAAGGCCTTTTTTACAAAACCGCTTGTATCTGTAACGGCAGTAGTAACTGTAATTTTTATCTTTTAGAGAAGAACAAAATTTAATTTAATAAATGCAGAATAATTGGAGCATTCTTTATGTGATTTAAAGTTAAATCTTACATCTTAATTATAAAGTGTATAAATTGAACAAACTAACCATTGTTTTCTGTTCCGCTTCTAACAGCTAATTATTAAAAGCAAAATACACTGATAAATGCATTTTTTGAAATTGAAAAATCCTTGTTTTTTTTATACATATAAAAAAAAATTTCGTAAATTTCTTTAACTAATTCAAAAATTTACAGTTTTTTTCGTCACAACATAAATTTTTATATCTTTTGTGAAGAGTTGCTAAATCTAATTTTATAAATGCAGAACAAATTGTGAATTCTTCATTGTCATTTCAAGTTTAACATGGCATCTGGTAACTTATAAAGTTAATAAGCTAAATGAACTTACCATTGTTCCCTGATCGGTAAATAAGATAGATTTAATCGGCGCGAAGATCAAGTCACTGTCGGCCAAGGCCAGCACCTCTATCGGGCGATCGGTCTTCTCACACACCGGCTGCGATCTTAGTCGCTTGTTTAATCACCATCTATTATTGGATAGATCCGAAAATGAGGAACCATTCCAAAGATACTTTCTCAATTATAGAACACAAATCGGCAAAAAAATCCAAGATGCAAGCCGATCTTTTCTAGAGTCGCTAAACAATCCAAAAGTAAACAAACACAAACCAGTCCAATGATCAACACAAACACACAGAATGATCAACACACCACTTATCGCTCACTCCACAACGGCATCAAACACAGCTTTGGGCAGATGCAGCACAACGACGTCTGTTTGGAATCCGCCTTCGTAACTGACGTCATAAAGTAGGCGGAGTTTGTGAACTAAAGACACGCCTTTCACTTTTTAGGAACATGAAGTGAAGTATATTAGGCGTGTCCGTTTCGAAATGGTTTTATCCAATAATAAAATAGTTCTAAGCATCTCAAAGTCAAAGATGGAACAATATGATTGGTGGAGTGCAGAGAACTGGGATGAATCATTATACAAACGTAGACGCTGCTTTTAAAGGATAGCAATTCGTTCTATCGTTTCGAATGAGTAAAATTAGATTGTGAATCTTTCTTTTTGGTTTTCTGGTGAACTTGTAAACAAACGATGCGAAATCTTGATTTTTGAGCTTTCAAATTATTTTTTTTTGTAAAGGAGAAAACAGCTTAAAAATGTATACTGTAAACTGCAAAACTAACACAATCCTTTTCGTTTGAGTTTCTAATTTGAAAATAACAAAAAAATTACTAACTTATGCTTGTAATGTGTAAAAATATGATTTATTTTGCAATATTTATTATTTTTTTTTTTTTTNTTTATTATTTTGAAAGGCAGAAAATAGTTTGAAATTGCTGACAAAACAAAAAAGGAGTAAGTTTCTCTCTTAAAATTTTTTTTTTTATTTTTTTTAATTTTTTTTTTGATTCTAAGTTATGAAAACATTGTAAAAAAAATTTTATAAATTTTTAATAATAACTATAAGGCAAAGCTTCTATATACGTAACAATGCAGTCAACTTCGCGAAATGAAAACAATTAGTAAAAATTTATTTATTACTTACAAGGGAGACTAGAGAAGTGTGACTCGCCAATTTTAAAATAAACTAGTGGGATGTATGCCTTATGAGGAATAATTTTAGGGGGAAACATTCGTTTCGGCCCATAGAAGGTCCTATGAGAGATAAAAAATAATTCAATCTATAGAAAAATCAGTATTTTATTACTTCAGTGCCAGACAATTAGTTATTGTAATTATCTCATACTCCAAGTAATTTTGTGGTACTTTCACGAGCTATATAATGCATATTTATTGTCAAAATTGATTTCGAAAAATTTATATATCTGTAGTTTTTCAGAAAAACCTGTTAGGTTAATATAAGAAAAGAAATTGGCATCAATTTTTTTTATTTTATTTTTCAAAAAATTTTCCAATTTAAAACAAGTTAATAGTAATAAATTTCATTTATATGAGAGTCGAAATATAAGAAAACATTTTTGAAAAACTCAAAGTCTTAAAAAAAGTGTAAAGTGTATTAGAGTAATCGCTTAAAAGCATTTTTTCGAAATAGGTTTATCCGGCTTTTGAGATCAATTTTGACAATAAATATTCATTATATAGTACGTGAAAGTACCACAAAATTAAATGGAGTATGAGATAATTACAATAACTGATAGTCTATATTGAAGTAATAAAATACCGATTTTTCTATATATAGAATTATTTTTTTATCTCTCATAGGACCTTCTATGGGCCGAAACGAATGTTGCCCCTTAAAATTATTCCTCATAAGGCATACATCCCACTAGTTTATTTCAAAATTGGCGAGTCACACTTCCCTAGTTTCCCTTGTTAGTACTGGAGAAAATAGTTTAAAATATATATGAAGGTGTCAACTACAAAACTAACAATTTCTCTGTGTCTCAAGTTTTTTGTTGTTGCTGCAGAGCTTGTAAATGTTGAAAACAGGAAAAATTTATTTTAATTTAAAGTTTAAGTTCTTTATTGTGTCTATCATTTATTTATTTTTTCCTTACACCCAGAAATAAATAAGAATAAATACATTGAACAAGCTTTAAAAATTGTCAAAACACTTTTTTGAATTATTATTTAACTAATAAAAATAAAGTATTCTGCAAGAAAAGTTTATGAAATAATATTAAGAAAGGCCGGTTGATAATATTTAATGGAAATGCAATGAAATAAAAAGTCTGCATAATTTTAATAAAAATCGAAATTAAGAAAATCGAAGAATCGAACAAATTCAAAATGCATTGAATATTTATTATATTTTATTTAATTTTTTCTTCTCCCGCGGAATGCTTAATGAACCTTGAAAATTGTAAGCATTTCTGGAAGAATCGATTCTTCACTTTTCTTAATCCTAAAAACAAATCGAAACAAGAGAGGCGGCATTCCGAATTTATATGAATATATTACGTCAAATCTCTCTAAGGCAACGGCAATTATCTTTTATAGATAGTGTAAACAATTGAAAACACTAATTGAAAAAGACAGGAGAAGAACAACGTCAGAAATTTCGAATTTATATTATTTTATTTTGTTTCTTTTCATAGGCTTTGAAAATGATTCAATTAATTTTGATCACATGAAGGAAGAAAAAAAAATTAATTATGAGTCCTACCGTTTCAATCGTTGACAATATTGTTGGACAATATATGCTTGCCGATTAGTAATAAACGCTTAATTTTTAATAATAATCATTCACCGCTTAAACTATTCATACATCATATGAAAATAATCATTTGCGGTACGATAATAATCCTATACCATTTGTTAATAATCATTCTGGCAAAATTATCATACCAGAAAAAAATCTGTCAAAACTACCTTACTACTTACATGACAAAGACGTTTCAGATAATTGAAAACGTAATTCTGGTAATTAAATCAAAATATACGGTAGTTAATCCATTCATTTGGTAATTTTACCACTTGCTATGTTAACTGTTTACCGGATATTTTGGTTTTCAAAATTATAGTTCTTATCCTCACTCATTTAGTAATAAATACAAAACTGGAAAGTACATTTAAACGAATAAGTGGGTTTTATTCCATGCTCTTAATTATCACGATAAAATTACCAAAAAGTTCTTCAAAACTGCCTCTAATTTTACTATTTATTTGATAATTTTAACCTTTCAATGTCTATGCCTTTTACCAAATAGAATGGTAAGGGACTGTTCACACTTCTAAAATTTATTTCAAAGTTCGGTTTATATAAATGGTTGACAATAGTTAGACGACTGTTTATTATTTCTTATTCTAATTTAATTTTTCAGTTGAAAGAAATGGTAAAGGGACATAAATGATGGCTTCAAATATTTAATTAAAGTATTTTGAGCCTACTGAATTCAGATACATCAAACTATGGCGACTGGAGGTAGCGGGATTTATTTATTTACTTATATACGAACAGATTACACAATTTTGCCAAACACTGTAAGAATATACATCACGTGTTATAGTGGGTTTCGAACCCAATTCTTTAAATCCTCAGAATGGTTAATGACACAATAATGCAGCACGGCGATGTGCAAGTAAAAGAAACGCATATTATTGAGGCCATCATTACCATGCAGTGTTTTCCTTCCGCCAAACGCTCAAAGAAGTTGAGATAGCGGGTTCAATATTTCTGTCCAGTATTTCTCATTTTTTGTGCCGTCTGCTCTGCAATTTGACAAGAACCAAGCCATTCTTTGCATTAAGCACGCGACCCTGTATTAAACCAAATTTATTTGTTTACTAATACACATCCAGGATAAAGCTTTGATTCGAACTCACTACCTCCAAACTACTTTCCTCTCTGGCAGAAAGACGAGCACGAGATTGCTATAAAAATAAATAAATTAAGAACATTACTATTTCGAATTTTTTATTTATTTATTGCAACGCATACATATGCAAGGCTTGTGTGCTCATTACAAAGCCAAAGTTAAATAACACATTACTCACATGAAAGAACGATTTAACAAAGATAAATCTATTGTAACGTGAGGGGGCGGTTTCGAATCTTGTCTTGTCCCAGGATATATGTTTGATGCGATGTCTTTCTCTATGTTGTCCTATCTGTACTTTGGCTTGAAATGGGTGCATAAGTCGAGTTTTATAATGAGCACACGAGCCTGCGTATGCGTGCGTAACTATAAATAAATAAATAGTAACATACAGGGTTGCAGTGGGATTTGAACCCGCTACCTCTACGCTTCCATTTTAGGATGTTGGGACATCCATGACAACAGCTAAGCTACTAATTTAGTTTAGCCTTCTCCAGACATTTGTACATATGCATATACAATATACTAGACTAGTACAAATGCATATTTTTTATATTTTCAAAGCTTTGTGGATGTTACCTTATAGTTTGCAATAGAAAAAAAAAACAATTGATGAGAAACAATGTTAACAAGTGCTTACTAAATAGAGATAATCAAAATGAACATTTTTGCGTACTAGTACTGTTAAAATGACAGACTTTAGGTTAGAATTACCAAATTTTACCACATTTACTACCAAACAGCTGGGTAATGAAAGCTATATTTTATTGTTAATTTTACCAAAAAGTCATTACCAAAGAACTTTGGCAGAAAATACCTTGCTTTTTGATGTTCTCATGGAGCCTGAAGTAAGGTAAATGTTACCATATTCTGGTAGTTTTGATCATACTTTTTATTTTCTCAGTGTATTTATCAATGGATAACAATCGTTCGTTGTTTAAAAATAGTCATTTACCGTTTGAAAATAATCCTTTATCATTTCCAAAATCATCCAAATTTCCAAATTCATCCAAAATCGTTCACCGTTTGATAATAATCGTACATCATTTAGTAATATTCGTTCATCATTCGATAATAATAATTCATCCTTGAATAATAAGCGTTAATCATTTAATAATTATAATTTATATTTAGAAAATCATCATTTATCATTCGATGATAATCGTTTACCTTTTGAAAATCATTAGACAAAAGACTTTTATTGATGGATAATAATTGTTCACTTTTTGATAATAATCATTCATAGTTTGATAATAATAGTTCATCATTCGACGATTGATAAAAAATCGCTCACCGCTTGATAATAATCGTTCATCATTTGGTAATATTCGTTCATCATTCTATAATAAAAATTTGTCAATTGTTAACAATCATTTATCCTTGAATAATAAACGTTAATCGCTTAATAATTATAATTTATTGTTAGAAAATCATCATTTATCATTCGATGATAATTGTTTATCTTTTGTAAATAATCGTTCATC